TTTTTTCTACAAACACAAGATAAACGATAATAAAACAATAAACCAATGATTTAATGAAGACATCATTGCATTAAATAATACAACACTTTAATAAATAATAAGTTTTTGTTTATTTTAACAATTAAAAAAGTCATCGAATACATAAAAAAACATTTAAAAAACAAGGTTATTAATCAAAACAGTATTAAATTAAATAAACAGTTAAAAAACAAAAAAAAACTTTTCAATTGTATCGTCTTAACCTATTTATCTTCTCTCAATGCTTGTTTTACTCATTAGTACTTTTCATTTTTATCCAGAACACAACTTGGTGATTCTGTACACACAGATATTGAATTAAAAAATTATGTTTTCGTTTTTTGGCAATATTTGGGTTATGGTAATCAAAAAATAATCCGAAGTTTGTTTTTTGTATTTTTCAATTAAATTTTTGGTGGAAGATTTATTTGTCAAGTAAAATTTAAAAAAGTCAAGTTCGTTATCTTGTTTTTTTTCGAATAAATGTTTATAACAAAAAATGAGGGTTAAGTAAAGGAAAAATTATTTAGAAATTATTTGTCTAAAAAATCGGGGCATCCCAGTACAGAGTTTTGAAAAACAGTTTAGTTTTTATTGGTGTAATTTTTTACAGACCAAAAGATGGGGAACCTTGCTTAGATAAATAAAAAATTTTGGTAAGTTGCGAAATTTGAATCTCTGTGAATACAAATTATTTACAAACCATTTTCTTGGTTCTTGCCTGAACAAACATTGATGTTAATGAACGTGTCATCAGAACCAACCCCAATTAAGGTTATCATCATTATTAAATGTTTCATAATTCATTTTTTTCTTTATTATGAGTTTTTTCCATTTGTTTTTGTTATTATATTAGTTACTAAACTATATTATATTACTTCAAAATATAACCATTTAGTTATAGTATTTATATTAAACCCGATATTACTTTAACATTTAATCAAAATTATTATTAATTTAATAAATTACAATAATAAAGTTAATAATAAATTTCTAATTATAAAAACCAATTTTAATTATTTCTTTGTAACTTTTGTAAAAGAATCATCACAACATCTGCTCTTGGTCGGTCTTCGGGTTTCTGTTTCCACATTTCTGAAATAACACAATAAGCATCTGGGCTAATTCCTTCTCGAATTGAAAGCCGTTTTCCAGAAGCTACAAAATCAGCACACGCAACACACATACTACT